ATTATACTTCATCTACATAAAAGAAGACATGTGGAATCTAAGTGAAGAAATCAGATTTACTAGTATAGGGGTTGTGAAGATGATTAAGTTTTTGATTGAAATCATGAACCGATTGATGTTAAACCAACTTTGGAAACCTGGAAACACTGGACGGCCGTTTCATCTTGTTGTGGGACTCCTCAACAGTGCGCATCCACGATACCGCTCGCGGGATTCCAACCCAGGGCCTTCGGGCTTGCGCGCGAACGCTTAATCTACTGGACCATTGAGCCGGCGTCCAATGGTTATAGTGTCTAACATAAACCAATCCACGAAATTGCGCGACCAACTTCCATTGTACTGAGGTAGATACCTGTCTCTACCCGACATGGATCCCGCGAGCGGGATCGTGGATGCGCACTTTTGAGGAGTCCCACAATAGGACGAAACGACCGTCCAGTGCTTCCAGGTTTTCTACGGTGATCTAGCTTCAATTGATTCATGATCTCAACTGTTTAAATCAATATTTAATTACTAAAATGCTTAAAATTTATAAATATTGGAAAACTAAAAAAATACGGAATACAATTTATAAATTTGTGAGAGTAACCTACAGGATCTTGATATTTGAAATCAAAGAACTAATTGAATACTTGATACTTCATGTGAGGCAATAAAGTATTTGTTAAATTGACTCCTAATTATCATTTCTAATACTGATTTCTAAGCGTAACTCTTATTTTTAAGGATAATACAACCACTTAATCAAACTTCATAGTCTCTTTGAATTTTCACTTTATACATTGTAAGAACGTTTACAGACTTAAAACTGTAAAGCGTAAAGCAAAGATGGATAGTGGCTAGCAGTGGAGTGGAGGTCGCGCGTTTCATCCTATTTGGGATTCGAACACACAGTACCGTTTGCTTCAAACGCCATTGCGTTATCCACTTAGCTACTGAGTCTTGATAGCCACTTGGTATTGTTTTCAAGTAAAACAATACTAAGCGAAATCAAACTTCACCCCATTGAACAAGTAAATGGCTATCAGGACTCAGTAGCTAAGTGGGTAACGCGATGGTGTTTGAGGCGAACGGTACTGGGTTCGAGTCCCAGAGTGAATATCAACTCTGAGATGCAGGCACATCCAGCTGACGAGTTCCAGATAGGATGAAATGCGCGTCTTGGATTCCACTGCTGGCCACTATCCATCTTTGCTTATAATGTTTGTGAATTAAGGCTATATCGAGGTAATACACACAGTATGCGCATATGCCAATAAGAGGCTGATCAATTGCACTCCTAATCATCAATGGAAAGATTCAAGTAGAACAATATCAAGTGAAAGTAGAGCGTAAAGATTAAACTATGAAAAGTACTATTGTTCAGTGAAATGATCGACATTTATTAAAATATTCAATAAATGTTTTGAAATTACCGTAGTTAATTTTCAGTACATAGAGATAATGACTTATGTTGAAATAAAACAATAATTAGTAATGGAAATAGATTTGAACCACTGTAACCATTAGAGTACTTTTCAATAATCTATCATTTATATTTTTTATGATTTTATCCAACTAATGAATGAATTGATGAAGAATATCAACTCTGAGATAATAAATACTTTAAGAAAAGGAAAACACCTATTCAAGCGAAAAAGTAACAATCAAACCAAAAGAAAAATAGCCTGTTGAAGGTTGCATGTTTCCTGTGAGCTGAATGGTTTAATAGTTATGTTGCATGGAATTGACTTTCTGGATGGCATAATCAGCACGTACTGCAAAAGGGTATGCTGTTGGAATATTTCTCCATCATAATTGACTAATAGCTTGTTCTATTATCCTGGAATATGTTTGATTGTTGTCTATAATTGTTTGATCCTTGTTTGCATGCTCTTCTTCACTTTCGACCTGGTCTATGAACTAGAAATTACCAACTCTTCTACATATTGGCTGGTAGATTTTATCGACTTCAATATGTCTATTGGTTAATGGTTGACTTGGGTACCAGATTTCGGAATAATCTCTGGTTTCCTTTGTTTTAGTGACGAACAACTCCAAAGTCAGAGATTATGTTGGAAGAGAAAACAATTAACTTTTTTTTGCAAAACGTTATGTCCTACAAGTTAGATTATATAGAGGTAAAACTGGGAGTTTTATGGAAGAATGAAACTCAGATCTCTTAACGGTCAGTAGGTATATAGAAATTAACACTTCTATCAAATAAATAGCTAAAAGGTCAGAGGTGAAAAATTTTTTAGAACACGCAAAAAACATGTAGACAACATTCACACAATAATAGGCAACAACCAATCGAATTCTAGGTCAACAGAATAACAAGTTATTGATCAATTATGATAGAGAAATATTCTCTTTGAATTACATACTGATATTGTTGTCAATAGTTGAAATCATAAGTCAATTGGAGCTAGAACATCATGGAAAACCTGGAAGCACTGGATGACTGTTTCATCCTGGCATAGGACTCCTTAACAGTGCGTGTCCACGATCCCGCCTCTCCCCGCGAGATTCGAACCCAGGGCCTATGGTGATTTCAACTATTGAAATTCATAAAATATCCACAAAACCCCTCCTGATAATAATCATCTGCTCACTAGTGACTGACTTCAAGAGACTCCTGGAGTTCTAGTGAGAAGCCGTGACCAGTGGAGTCCAACCAGGTCTGTTGTGGAATACCAACTCACTGAAGACAATGGTGGATGGTGGCGCAATTTCGTGGACTGGTCGAAGTCAGACATTAACACCGTTGGATGCCGGTCTGTTCAGTGGTCTAATGGTTAAGCGCTTGGTGCGAGACTGATAAGTGCTGGGTTCGGGTCACGCGAGGCTTGGTCATGGATGCGCACTGTTGGGGAGTCCCATACTAGAACGAAACAGCCACTGACTGCTCCCAGGTTTTCCATGGTGGTCTAGCTTCAATTGACTCATGAATTCAACTATTGAAATTTCTAAAATCTCCACATAATCCCTTCTGATAACTATTAAAGTATCCAGCTAACAGAGAACACAATGCTCTACATCTAGATGAAAATAGACATAAAACTCAAATGATTCAACAACGAATTATCACATCAAAAAGGTGAATTCAGAACATACAAAAAAAACTCAGACAAACAGATAAGCTAAATAAGAATAAATGAGTGAAATAAATTCACTTGAATAGGTTTCTCTGAAATGCTTTTCATTTATTTACTCTACGAATGTGGTGGGAAAAAAAGAAGATAATTGAAGAAAAAAGATGATGTGGAAAATAAAAGTAAAATAGAAATGGTAAGTGAAATAGTGTGTATTATTCCCCTGTCCTTCACAAACAAACACAAATATATCACTAATATATATATATATATACTTTGAAAGGGAAGGTATCATAAAAGAAAGGAAAAGTAAACAGACAAACATTCGAAAATAAAAATCACTCCATGAGAATTATTGATCATATGGTTCTGCTGATAATAATGCTATAAACGAAAACGATGTAGGTAAGTGATTATGTGTGTATGAGGATGGGTGGGTGCATGTACACATAAACATTTGTATGAATATCAACTTGGAATTGCAACTATTGAGTGCTTCAAGTTCAATATGAGTAACTAGTTATATACTACAGTAGTACTGTCTATCAAGAGTAAGGGTTAAATAAAGTGAGAGTGTTATCACTAAATATATTAAACGATCATCTTCAAAACAAGTTAGATATTCAAAAGAATAAGATATTTGTGATGAATAAATAGATTCGACATAATGTACATAGCTTTTGATAATGAATGAAAATCTATAGATATAGTATTGATCAAAGTTGGGTAATAATCCACAGAATATGATGTTAACGTTTATACACTTATTAGTAATTCAATATTACAGGGGATCATATGTCATCTAAATAATTCAGTTGCAATAACTATGATTGAAATAATGAATGTTAATATAGTAAACAAATACTCAGTACCTTTGTGGTGCGTGCTACTTATATTGATATAAGTAGTATATGATGCGAGTCAGGAATGTAATGTCTGGCAGCAGATGTGAAAGATCAGGAAAGGAAGAGCGGGAATAGAAAGAAATTAGTATGGAAATGCAAGAACAACGAAGTCAGAGACAATTATTGAACATTTTGTAAATTAAGTATTATAGCATGGTTTTTCTCTTTTACCAAGTAACTCTGAAATTTTGTGATTAATACAATACGATTGTCCCCACTCGTGTTCTGTTCACTACACCTTTGTAAAATATGAAAACTATACATTAAATACAATATTTACACATCATCCTTCAGTTGTCCTTCATGATTCTTTCAATTATGTTCTCATTACAGTTTATCTCTATTAACATTCCTGTTCCCTTCAATTCGATCCTTTTCATCTTCTTCTGCTAGGCATTCAACTTTTGATTGATGTCACATACTACTTATACCTGACAATATAAGTAGCGTACATCACACAATAGTAGTAAGAATTTCTGAATGAAGAATCAACTTCGTCATGTTTTTTTAAATATACTACACTGATGAATATTAAACAGTACAAAACGTAGATCTGTTGATAAACCACCAATCATTTAAAATGTCACATTAACATATGCTTTGAATCTAAGCAACAATATAATAATTCTGACTAAATTATTCAATACTATAATTAGAGATACTATCTATGTAAGATGATTGACATCACTAATTATCCCATATGCCAATATTCAATTGAATAATAGTTCTTTACACTTGTATACTTTAAAATGTTCATTAATGAATATAGATTTTGATAAATTATTATTAATATCAGATGGGTTTTGTGGATATTATAGTAATTTCAATGGTTAAGATCATGAGTCAGTTGAAGCTAGACCACTATGGAATCCCACAATAGGACGAAACGGCCGTCCAGTGCTTCCAGGTTTTCCATGGTGGTCTAGCTTCAACTGACTCATGGTCTTAACCATTGAAATTATTATTACACAGAAATGTTTATATCAGTAATTCAAATAAAATCATGATAATAATCACATACCATCACAATCAGCATCTTGAATCATTCGACGTACTTCATCTCGTGTTGTTTTAACACCAAGAAATCCAAGAACAGATTCTAATTCAGTTTCAGTGATTCGACCATCACGATTAACATCGAATAGAATGAAAGCTTCTCGGAGATCTAAAGTGTATACAATTAATAAAAAAAATAATACAATAATAAATTTAAGAATCAGCTTTAATTATGAATACTGATTGATAAATAGATAAAAACAAGCATTAACTTTGTGAGTCGAGATAGAATGTGGCTAGCAGTGGAATCGATGACTTGTCAGCTGGTTGTGCCATCATTTCAGAGTTAATGTGACTACCTGGACTTAAGAGCTAAGTGGATAACACAAAGATGTTTGAAGAGGAAGGTACTGTGTTCAAGTCATGGAATGAATGTAAACTCTAGGGTTGAGGTACATCCAGCTGATGAGTTACAAATAGCATGAAACACAAGTCATCGAATCCACTGCTGGCCACCATTTTTTTCCTGTTTAAAATGCTTGTGACTTAAGGCAATATTGAGGCAATCCTCACAGAAAGCACATATGCTAATAAGAGACTGGTCAATTGCAGTCCTAAGTGTCCATGGGAAGATTCAAACAACCAAATGCACGATGAACTATTTACTTTGTAGAAGATAAGAAATCTTACAACGTATATACACTCATTAACGAACAAAACCATTAAAGCGAAGATATAAAATGGACTCTAAGTTTTTTTTTTGCCGAATAAAAATTTTAATCCTTCATTAATAAGATTTGATTAAGTCAATTGGAATGAGTAAGTCAATAGATATTTTTGAAGAGTCATGAATAAGAATGACAGGATTTACATCTAAGATTAAGTATAAAATACTATTCTAAATAGCTGTAATCAATTTTCAGTTATCACATTCGAAATCAACAAATATAGGTCTTTAATAGTTAAGATCATAAGTCAATTAAAGCTAGACCATCATGGAAAACCTGAAAGCACTGGATGACCGTTTCTTCCTACTGTGGAACTCCTCGGCAGTGTGCATTCACGTCCCTGCCTCGTGAGATTCGAACCCAGGACCTATCAGTCTCGCGCGTGAGCGCGAGTCAAAGAAGAATGATCAATTGTTGAAATGTATATGTGTAAACCATGAATTGAAATGGTTGTATAGAATGATAAGTACAAATAATTATATCATTAGCTAATCAAAAACCTTATTCATAATATTTGTTTAATCTTTTTTTCTGCTATGAACAAATCATTATGATTTAATGGACATGGAAATAAGTTGTGTCAATCACAAGTTATCTTTGAACGACACAATGTCCTTATATAAACAATCATTTACATTTATATATTATGCCTGACGGACTGAACAGTATCAACTGATAACGATCAGTCTTATCGACTATTTATGGAGATTGTTTAAAATTATATGACATTCATCAAGATTGATCTTAGTTAGATAGCCATTGAAAGTCAGAAATTATTAGACAATAGTTTCGTCCTATTATAGGACTCTTCAGCAGTCCATGTTCACAATCCCATGGATGATTGAGCCTAGACATGTCAGATTTTGCAATGAACATCTAACCCTTTCGGTCGCTGAGCTGATAATGTTTTGTGATGTTACGCAACCAACTTTCAATGCCATTAATTGCCAACTAGCTCACAATCGATTTGGTCGAAATTAATTAGTTATTGATTGTTACTGGAAATCCGACCGTTGTTGCTACCTTGACGTGGTGGTCGGGCTTGCCTATCGTGATGAAGCAAACGAGCTATACTGGCTGCAAAAACCGTTCCTCAAGGTCATACCATGTCAGACAGGTCGGTTGAAGAGCGGTAAGACTAAAAGCAACAAACCCAAGGTCCGAAGGCGAAGTCGTACTGCTCACTGTACAGAGGTGTGACAGCAGTAAGGTGTTTCCTTCAGACAACCAGCATGACAGCGATGCTGCCTTCCCACAAGAAGGAGTGGGGCTAGAAAAGGTCGACCCTAATAATGCACATCTCGCCTTATCCCATGGATATCCGTCTCCGGCGGTAAGGTCTCAACAAGTACGGAGCTAACACAAAAATTACCCATAAAAGGTCGTGTGTGACCTACCTCAAGAAGTTGTCCCTTGGGTACTGCGGTCACGCTCTCAGGTCACTAAGACCATTTCTAAATCACTTTCCTTTTCAGGTACCTGCATAAGAACCCTTCCACGGTGTGGGCGACCGGGAAGTGGTAACCGCCCTCATACCTCTAACAGCACTCAAGGAAATTCGAGAATTACTTCTTGAAATTACTTATAAGTGGATAAATGATTATTACTATCCTACGAGGATTCAGTCAATGGATTTGGTATACGGTAAAATACATTCTAACCTCCCCCTCCCATTGTTTTTTACTAATAAAGTCATTATTGTATTACTAAACATTAACTTTCATAATTAACCAAAGATAAGTGAGATAACGAACTTCATCCTTTACATATTGTAGAAAGTTCATACCAAATAGGTAAAAATTTGGCTTTATTTTAAAGTTAATGATTAAATTACACTAAATCTGTTCTATTGTAATTTAAGATTTTACATTATAAATATGAGGAAAGTCATAGTAATTCATAGGAATCAATCATTTTTTTGAATTTTAGTTATTTCCCTAGTCAAATGATCACTTAGAAACTATGGTTATACTTTTTTTTCTTTTTTACATAATCGATTTTATGACATAACTGATTGAATTAGGTATTTGTCCATTAACTATTATTATTATTATTATTATATTATTATTATTATTATTATTATTATTATTATTGTTCACCTGTAATACTAAACTCAAACATATACATTATTAGTTGACTAGTAAACATTTGATTAAATATTGATTTCTAATTCTATTGTAAGACTTATCAATTGTTAAATTTCATTAAAATCATGAATTGATCTAAATTAGATCACTTTTGAAAACCTAAAAGCATTGGATGGCCATTTCGTTCTAGTATGAGACTCTTTAGGAGTGTGCATCCAAGATTGTGCACGCTAGAATCGAACCCAGGAAACTTCGGTCCCAGGTGCGAACACTTGACTTCAATAGTTAATTAAATCATGATAATAATGAAGAGGCAACTAGAAAAACAGAATAATTTAGTTGCTAATGTTTCAGATTATCCTATTGTTGATATTTTGACTGATATTTGATCGGTTTTGGTTGACATATGTGCATATTGTCCAGATTACTTCGATATAAACATTATGACAGAAGTATACATAGAGTATATGGAATATGGCTAACAGTGAGATACAGGACGCGCGTATCTTCCTATTTATGACTCATCGGACGAGTTCAAATACATCCAGAATCGATGTTCACTTCAGCATTCATCCTAAAACTACTAGTGAACATAAATATACCGTTATGGATTAAATATTGTGTAGACTAGCTTACCACTAGAGACTAGGGGGAATTGGACAGTTTTTTGTCCTAGTATGGGACTCTTCATCAGTGTGTATCCACAACCTCGACACGAAGGTAATCCAGGTTTCACAGTAAAACTTAACTATTAAATAACTGAGTGAAAACTTGACCATTCACATCTTCAACTTTAAACAATTTATGATATAGAACAACGGTCATCCAATGTTGTAGGTAACTACTATCTCATTCTCAGAAAGCCTAAACTACAGTGGTCACAACTTCAGAAACTTAAAAAAAACGTTTTACGAAGTAAGCCATTACCGACGATCGAAATTCAAGGTTTAACTCTTGATATCGTTATGCATGAGCATTGATGAGAAGTTACATACTAAAATGAAGTAATTACTCACTAGTCCCTAGTTTTCAATGGTACCTATCATCAACCTCAATTGAATGTCATCTTCAAACTAAACTATTCCTCATTCAATAAGATTATTAACCAGTTAACTATTGATTTATATATATATATACTGCTAGGTTCGAAGCGGTTACGAGTTCACTTAGACTGCGAACGGAAACAAAGACTCGGTGATGAAAACCAATAAGCTAGCTATTCGATGCGTCCCAGCCCCGCTAACTAGAAGAAGACGTCCAAGCTTGGAATGGGGAAGTATATTCTGAAAAAAGCGAGAAAACTTGCGATAACAACAGACACAAACCAAAACACATATATACAGTACAAAACCGTCCCGGGAAGAGTTACAAAAATAGCATAGCCATTCTAGACCTATTATTATGAATCCATCAAGTAGATATCTTAATTCTTCCAGTTACCAACAATTACCTTGGCATAATTATTATCTGATGCACTTCATCTTCAAGTTGTTTTATGAATCGTTCACAATTAATTTTAATCAGCATCTGCATCCTTATTATTATCTAACAAACGACCACTTGACTGGTATTGATTCTGTTACTATCAATATTATTATTACTATTTATAATAGTAGTTATTATTATTATTGCTCTATTCATCTTTTTATCCAGTTAGCAACAACAGCTTTTGTTTTCAAATAACAATGTGAAAAAAAAACAAACAGCCGAGGTGAATAAACCGTTGTTCGGAAGTTTTTTTAAACACATTTTGCGTAATTGTGACTGTAAACAATAAGATAAATAAATGAGTAGTATGTATGTTTATTAGCATACACACACACACTCATGCACAACAACAACAACAACAAAAACAGCAACAAAGGTCAAACAAATTTAATTTATTAGTTCATATGACACTATTTAGTTTACACTGATCAAGTTCCATTATAAATCAGATTTTAGTACACGCCACAAAAAAAAATAACGTACGAAAAAACTTAATAGACTGTTCACCCCCCCACACACATACACACATAGATACATACACATTACATATATAAGCCATGAATTATGTATCGAACTTGTAGGATGTTAATTATGCAATTTTTGTTTAAATATTGGCACATTTTATCATACTACTGAAGGGTATGTAGTGTTATACAACTTTTCAGTATAGTAGTATAGTATTCATTTCAGAATGTATTATGAAAATACTATTCACATGTTTATAACATATTTTAAAAGTATCAATAATTTTTTTTAGACCATTAAAACTAAACAACAAAACAGAAATTATTCGTTATTATTCATGGTTCAATAATGCATAAACCGAATAAACACCTATTCACTATTCAATTGATATTTGTGTGTGA